ATCCAGCTAAATGACAAAGGGAAGATTAGAATAGTTGGAACAAAACATACTAAACCGAAAGAAAGGGAAGGAGAGTAAAGGAGGGAGAAAAAGAGAGAGAAAGAGGGAGGGGAAGGAAAGAGTAAGGAAGGGAAGGAAGAAAAAAAGGAAAGAAAGAATACACTTTAAGGCAAAAAGCAGTAAAAGACATTAAGTAGAGAGATTTATCTTTAATGAAAAGTGCAACACGACCAAAGAAGCTGTAAGCCACAATGGGGACAAAGATGAACATTCTTGCACCCACTGCAGAGCTTGAAAACATGCGAGGCCAAGAAAGATGAGAGACAAGAGTCAGTGATCAAAAACGTCAGTGGTCATCCACCACAGAGGCTTTAACCCCGAAAGGCAGTACATGGCAAGCACAGGAGACCTAAGGCAGGGTAGACTGACAGCAAGGCCAAAAGAGCCTCAGGGCAGGGCATGGCAGGCAAGTCATACCACCACAATACTGGAAGCAAATTATTAAAATACTAACAGGGATTGTTTTGGAGTGCAAGGCTATATGTATTCTTTTCTCTTTCTCCCTTTCTGTATTTTTTCATAATGAGTATTCACTTTCATAACAGAAAGGAAGTTTATGTCTAAAGGCAACAGAGAGCTACATCACAGCATGATGAACACAGCATTCCGTGGTGCATGCTGGACTCAGCTCACAGGTCCAGCGGCTGTGCATCCCGCAGAGCCGGAGAGGTGGGGCTGAGCAAGTGGTGGCCCACCAGGAGCTGCCTTCCCCCACACACCAGAGGAATAAGGGCCAGCTCCTCGCGGCACTGGGCCAGGTTCTCCTCTCCAGCAGGCCAGGGAGGGGATTTATGGGCCCGGAGGGATCCAGACATCTGTGCTTCAGTCTACCAATGGTGCTAACCTTCCTGGCAAGGAGCAGACAGAGTCCCATTCCACAAACGCCGCCTCTGTGCTGAGGCCCAAGCCCCCAGTCCAGACACACTGGGAGGCAAGAGAGAACAAATCCTGTAGTGTCTCGCTGCAAGGACCACTCACATTTGTGACTGGGCTTTTAATCCTTTTGGGGAGAGGCTGCCAGCCCAGATCACTCTCGATATCCTCCTGGGCTAACTGTGGTCTCCTACTGAGCCAGAGGAAGAACCGCTGAGTGTTCCAGTATTGATAAAAGCATAACATTTGAGCCTAAGTCATCTCTTACCCTAAAATTAGAGCAACCCAACCTGAGAGACATCATTGGATATCCAAAGGGATCCATCCATCTCCAAGGTGCCAGGAGGCAGGGAAAAAGCACAATGCAACAGAAAACCAAGCTGCTCAATGACAGCCTCAAGTCATTTTTGGAACAGCACAGGCATAAATACACACATAAGGGGAAGGACAATTGGCAACAGAGAATCATGGGCAGCCCACACTCTCCTCCTCCTCTCCTCCTCTGCTATTAGAAATGGAGGCCTAGAGGAACTGGGAAAGGAGGTGAAGTTGGTTCACGGAGAGCCTTTTTGGAGTCTGCTTGCTTCTAATCCTCCCTGTTCCCCAGACTACATTAGCACCCTCTGCCTGTCTAGCTGGTAAGGGCCACAGTAAAGTCAGAAGGCAAGTTGGAAACAATGCTGTAGAACTTTGATTGCATGCCAAACTTACAGGAAGCTATCTAGGGGCAAGCTGACACTCCCCAGGCTTCGAGGATCATGTTCAAACATGCTGTATATAGCCTCAGGGGCATTTTTCTATTTAAAATTCTTTTTGTATCGATATACATCACCATTATGAATAACTTGTCTATTTCTGCAGATTGTTTCTGTCCCAAATGCATAACCTGGACTTAAATATTTATCATGATATTAAAAATGTAAGCAGAAAAATTATTTTGGTAAAAAAAAACAACCCAAACAAACCAAAAAAGCCTCTTTGAAAACCAATTTCCACATATCAGTCCCTCACTTGGGTCTGGTTTTCTCATCCTTGCTTGGTCTCAGTCTGAGGGATTTCAGATATGGCTTGATTTCTTTGTGTCTCTAGGTCAATGCCAATTTTGAAGGTGATCAAATATCTCCCACAGTGTTTCCTGTGCAAGATCCCCAGGCACAGAAGAAAAGAAATGAAGATTGTCTGGGAAGCCAAAAGAAAGACTGAAGCATGAGGACGGAGGATATTAAAGCAATGTACGGTCAGGGCTGGGCTGCAGTGGGAGACCCAGATGGTGCTATTCCCAGGAGCACAAACTCAAAAGGCCACCAACCAGGCAAGGCAATGACAGTGAATAAGGGGACAAGTGCTAGCAGGACAAGTGGGAGAGTGAGGGACGTATACAGGGGACAGCTGGCTGGCCACTCAGGTCCAGCTCATTACTGTCATGTGGGAACCTAGGCCCAGCACTGCCATGAATCGACCAGAAGGCAATTTTATCTAGAACAGAGTAACATGAAGGCAGGAAGAAGAGCATGTTGCATAAGGAGGGAGAAACTGCCAGCCATGTGGGAGTCCCATAATCATGGAAAGAAATAGCTATGATGTAAACCCGAATGACAGCCACTAGCAAGGAGGGCAAAGGGACTAAGTAGACTAAGGAATAGAGCTAAAGAATTTATAAAAAGCAGAACTCAGTGAAAGACCAGATGAGCAGGACTCGGGGGGTGATGAATCTTCCAGGGGAAGCCTGCAGTGAACGGTTCAGAGGATGAAGGACTGGAAGGACTGGCCAGGAGGGAGGCAGGAAAACACATCCTTCTCCACTAGCTTTGCAGGGCTGCATCTGTCTCCCCAAGATGAGTATATTTTCTTTCTTCTCTGTTCCCCCACAAGAGATCAGGCGATAGCCAGGGGCCCAAGGGCCCAGGCACTGAGAGAAACAGAGTCAAACCTATAGCTAATTGAGTGCTGAGGTATTCAAGCAGGAGCAAGTGCTCGCTGAGTTAATGAGGAACGGGCAGGGAAGGGGAAGAGAACTGCTGAGGGACGGCACCTGCAGGAAAGTGCTGGGCCCCCTGGGGCTTCTGTGCAGTCATGGTCTGTGGACCAAACGTGAGAAAGCAGAGATAGAAAGTGCTGAGCAAGAACTGCAAACCCTTCTGAAGTTGGAGATTTTCACTGTACAGGGTAAGAGCTGGGTTCTTGTCCACAATTTTCTTAAAGATTCAGAAAGCAGAGATAAAAATATTGCCATGCAAAAGTACTCATGGCAAATGAGAAAAAGCAGACTCTACCATACTGAATGCTCCTTGTCATGGCATGAGTGTTGTGGGCTTCAGTCTTAATCTCAATTTTTATTTTAAAAGAAAACGTATTAGATTTTTTGATAAAAGCCATTCTTTCCAGGCTAAGATGGTATCTCACTGTAGTTTCAATGTGCATTTCTCTAGTGGCTAATAATGTTAAGCATTTCTTTATGTACTTTTGGCCATTTGTACTCCTTCTTCTGGAAGTGTCTATTCATTTTGGTTGCCCCCTCCTTTTTTTTTGGTAACGGGGATTGGACTTGGGACCTCGCACTTGCGAGGCAGGCAGCGGAACCACTGAACTAAATCCCCAGCCCTGGTTGCCCCTTTTTTGATGTTAAGTGGAATAAGCCAGACACACAAGCTCAAATATCACATGGTTTCTCTTATATGAGAAACAAAAATCATATATAAGTATGCAAAAAAAGAGCAAAATAGAAGTGAGATTAAATAGGAAGTATGGAGAAGTTCAATTACTTCCCCAAATTACATTCTCTGTTATTTCAAAAATATTTTAATATATATGCTAATTTGTTTCATTTATATTACTAATTTAACTTAGGTAATTGAAAAGAAAGTTACTTACTTGTTCCTTTTTTTGTAAAAGTTTTTTTGGTTTATGTCTTGTACTGAGTAACTACTTTGAAGATAATGATATAGTGTACTAACTTGCTTATTCACTTATTTTGTTAAGAAAATTTTCACAAAATAAAAGATAAACTTCATTAGGACTTTAAGAACTACCAAAAACACTTATTAACTAAGAAATTACTACAGTAGCCAGTATTTATTAACCTACTAATTCGTAAAGTATATATGGCTAATTAAGGGCCATCATTTTAATGCATTATCTCATGTATCGTCACAATGATTCCACAAAGGAGCTAGTGATACTGTGATAAATTTACTCTTAAGGAATAAAAGCAAGATGTGGAGATGTTAAATCACCAGCCCAAGGCGACGGTCTTTGATCAAGAGAGCTGAGGTACTAGAGCTGGTCAGAGCCAGAACCCTTTCGGCAAAGAGTCAGATAAACAAATATTTTTGGCTTTATGGGAAATATGGTCTGTGTCACAACTGCTCAATTCTGCCACTGTGGTGCAAAAGCAGCCAAAGACAATATATAAACAGAGGGTAAGGCTGTATTCCAATACAATTTTACTTAGGATAGTGAAATTTGAATTTCATATGGTTTACAGAAATCAAGAAATTTCTTTTCATCCTACCCCCTACACGTTGACAACAGTGAGGACCAATCTTAGCTCTTGGGCCATAAAAAACCAGGCGGCAGGGGCTGGGAGTGTGGCTCGGTGGTAGAGGTAGACCGTGGGGTCCTGGGTTTAATCCCCAGCACGGCAAAAACACCCCCCCCCCCAAAAAAACAAAACAGGTGGCAGGTCAGATTCTTCCACACACTGCCGTTTGCTGCTCCAGGTTGCAGCTACCAGCCTCGGCTATCAGCTAGCTCATATCATCTGCTGGTTTCCTCAGGGGCCCATACATATTTTGAGACAAGGCATGTAAGGACAAATCTGGATGGGGCACACAACCTAGGAACACGACTATGAGGAGAAAACCAATAGAAATTGCTCCAACTCTGCCTGACCCAAGGGGTCGACTTAAACACATTTTTCTTCTTTTCAGCCTCCCTTGCACTCTTCTGTTGAAAGACGTATTGATTTAGGTTGATATGAAACCAGAGGAAATTCTGGGTAGGGCAAGGCTGTCCTTTCCCACACAATGCAGTTTTCAGCAAACATCAGCCCACCATACCCTTCTTACCTGCAGGGTTTGGCTGAAGCGCTTTAAAGGAGTAGACTTCACAGGCGGGATGAGGTTAGCTAGTGACGTGACTCTGGAAAGGGGTTTGACCCGTTTATTACTAGGTTCCTGCAGGGTTAAACAAAAAGAGAGAAAGAAAAATATTACGGTCATTTCTGAAGACAACCGAACGCTGCCACACAATCAGAACCATGAGCTGCTGGCTGTGCATCCATCTGAGGAAGGTAAGCAGTGCCCAGCTACACTCCAGCTCCTGAGAGATGCCTAGGTGCAGGAGGCAGGGAAGGACAAACGACAAGGGAAGTCAGTGAAGGCAGCTTCTGAGAAGACAACAGAGGGTCAGACCTGCTCCTCATCCCTTAGCCCTAGTACCTCCAGCTTTTAATTCAGAAGCTTCCACTGAGTGAAATCATTCTTCCCTATAGAGAAAAGTGACCTTTGATTTGCCATCCAATACGACCTTGTCAGCCAGTGGTCTTTTGTTGCTTCATCTTTTGAAAAAGCTTTCCCTCGCCTTGCCTTAAGATACTCTTCTTTTATGCAGTGGCTTTTCTAAAGCACAAAGATTTTTTTAAAATCCACTAAATTAAAAACCTATGCTTTAAAAAAGTATTGCTGATACCTTACAAAAGCACCCCTCTATTTGAAATGCATGTGTTAATATTCATAAGTAAAAAACCTGATTGCAAAAGAAAATGTACCACTGGCATCGTTTTCTATCCTATTTATAATCATGAAGTTTGAAAATTACCTCCACAGAAAATATTATTTACAAACACGCATGTCTCTCCAAAACCGACTGATGAGTGAGATGGAGCGTACCTATTCCAGTGACTTTGAATTCCAATGACATGAATTACACAAATCAAAATGACAGGCTGTGGGGAAGAGGGATGACAGACAGAACATTTTACAAAGACAAAAAGAAGAGTTACCCTTGTCTTCCTAAGCTCCATCTGACCTGCAGGAGATGCTGGACAGCACATGAAGACACCAAATTTTGATGGAAAAAGCCAAAGTAGCCAATTGTGGCAAACCTCAATCATTTCTAGAAGGAGCCCCCAGGTGTTCATCTTTCCTTTTCAGCCATTGCTCTCAAAGTTTCAGGGGTAAACCAGAACCCTCAGTTCTTCATGGCATCCCTGCAGAGGATTCTGAACATAGCAGGTACCTGGAAAATTTTTTGCAAACCTCGATTTCTGCGGAGAAGCTCTCATGTCATTTCATGCCCTTGCCAGTCTCGGACATCAGAAGACTTCTTTGAAACAGACTTTCTCCAAGGTTTTTGGCCTTTACGTAGAAAAATTTAAAACTTAAAATGAAAAAAGTTCAAAACAATAGCAGTATGGCCAAGAGTAACTTCGTGATTTCTCAGAGAAGTCAAAAACTTTTCTAAGATGGAAAATGAATCTAGGCTGCCAGGGACTCTCAGGATTCTTAGCATGCTAAGCTGAACAGACAGCAGAAAAATCTCAGAACACTAGGAAGGCTCAGTTCCAAAATTAAACAGATGAATCTCCCAACCTGAGAGACGTTGCATTAAAAGATGTAAGTGATGAAGGGAAGGGTCTGACCGTCCTTCTGACGTCCCTTCAGGATGCTCCCTGTCCAGTGCCTGGCTCTGAGCATCTGTACCCAGAGAAGGATTTAAAAAAATTTTTTGTGACGTCAGAGCTGCACCACCGGCATACTGAATCGACGCGTGCGCACACAGAGCCTCTTAAGCATCCCCTGAATTTCTCTAAATGGCTCTTGCTTTGGTCTGGAAATGCCAGGCTTGTGATCTACCTCTGGTGGCATAACTGCATTGCAGCAAGAGAGGTGACAGGGAATTCCCTGGGGGAGCAAGACTCCGTCTCCGATAACTCTGCCTATACCTCATAGCCCAGAGGCTCTAGGTCTCATTTTCATGGTGAAGGCTGCTTGATCCAAAATTCTGTATCAGAATGGGGAAGTTGAAGGGCAAACACCAGCTGGGTTCTCCTGCTTTAAACAGGAGCAGGGAGTACTGCATGCTTGGCAGGCTGCGGCATGATCTAGCTCTGTCCCTCTTGCTGGGTCATCTCTTCTAAGGTCTTGCTGACTTTCCTGCTTATTTCATGTGACCCAGTAGGGTGGGCACTATCTCCATAGCCCAGTGCCAACAATGGCTTCCCCGCAGCTGAGCACAGTGCTGCTATCTGAGATCATAACTAAAACTGCTCACCTAAGGTACTGCCCATTGGCAAGCAAACATCAGGCTTCTTGCTCTCTGGCAATCTGACATTCCCAAGTAACAAAAGACTGAACCAGAAACAACTGTCATATGATTTAGTGCTATGATCCAGCAAAGCAGGCAGGTGCAAGTTCCAAACATAACAGTCACAGTTTATGGATCTATGGCAGGAGGCTTTATGCCTGACCCTCACAAGTGAAGTATGTAAGAATTACGGTGTTCTCCTCGAGGGCTTCTGTTGAGAATGGGAGATTTAAAAAAAATTCTTGGGGTAATATGATTTTTCTTTCTTATATACTCAGCATGTCTCTAGCTACATTTAACTGCTGTCTAAAGAGAGCCCTCAGGGGAAATGTTTCCAAATTCCAGCTAAATAGCTCTAAGGAGAACTAGCAAATGCAATACCGTGGGCACTTCACAGACAGCTGAGAGAACAGGCCCTGCAGTTTTAAGTGCACACACCACCTCCACCACATGATTTGAAAGATGGCAGAAGGGCCTATCACTAAGGAGGGAAAGAAAGAGAGAGAGAGAGAGAGACAGAGAGAGAAAGGGGGGGAAATGGTGGGGAAGGGAGGGTGGAGAAAGAGAAATGAATATGCAAGCATGCAGGCAATAAGAGTTCTGTGCAGGCAGAATTTTATGAATAATAATAGTTTGCTTTATCTTTTCCAGACTTTATAACATTTTTCTTTTTCTTATCTTATTACACTGGCTAGGACCACTTGCACATTGTTGATTATAAGCTAAGCCAATATAGTGGGTACACTAGTCTAATTTTTGATTCTAAAGTTATTATTCTTAAGACTTCATTATTATGAATTGTATTTGCTGAGAGTGTGGGAGACACTTTTTATCAAGCAGAGAAAGTTTCCTTATATCTCAAGTTTGATGTGATTGACTGATTGATTTTTGTTAGTTTGTTTTTGTTTTTCTGAGACAGTCTCACTGTGTAGTTCAGCCTGGTCTTGAACTCGATATGTAGCCCAGGCTGGCCTCAGTCTTGCAGCATCCTCCTACCTCAGCCTCCTGAGTGCTGGGATTACAGCCGTGTGCCACCATGCCCAGCTTGCTGTGAATTTCTATCATGAATTGGTACTGGATTTTTCTTTTCCAGTGCTGGGAATGGAACCTAAGGCCTTCATACTGAACTACATCTCCAGCTCTTTTTAGAAATCTTTATTTTTAATTTTGAGACAGGATCTTGCTAAATCAATAAGTTGCCCAGCATGAGTGAGCGCAAACTTGTGATCTTCCTGCCTCAGCCTCCCACAGTGTTGCAATTATAGGTATGTGTTACCGCATCTGGATTGGCATTGTTTTTTTTGGGGGGGGTGGTTTGGTACCAGGGATCAAACTTGGGACCTTATGCTTACGAGACAGGCGGTGGAAACACTGAGCTAAATCCCCATCCTGGCATTGGTTTTGACACATTTTTTTTTTCTTTATCTATTCAGAAAACAGGGAAGGAAAATAGTCAGAAGAAAGTAAAAGAAGTGAGGGGGGGAGGAAGCAAAGAGAGAATGAAGATAGGAACAGAGGTTATGTTTTTTCATTAAAAGAATTGACTCAATTTAAAACATCTTGAGTTGAATTACAGAGAGGAATACAACATTTCATGTGATCGTTACCTGTAATATGATTTTTAATTAATGGGTTGTATTAAAAATATTTGTTCTTGGGCCAGGAATGTTCAGTGGTTCCAGCGCCTGCCTCGCAAGTGCAAGGAGCTAAGTTCAATCCCCAGTACAAAAAAAAAAAAAAAAAAAAAAAAAAAATTCCTCCTCTAGGAAATACAATTCTTTTTATTTTTTCTTTATTCTTTCTCCTGACAGGTAAAAATCAAAGCAGATTATACATAATGTAAGAAAATGCTTATCACACCAATATAACCCAGTATAATTTTTTTATTCCTTTAAAAATAGTTTCATTGAAATGGATTTTCTTTGCACTTCAGTTCTGTACTTCAGTTGGGAGTAGATGGAAGATGATCCACTGAGCCACAAACACACCCCAGACGGGGCTGGAAATGAAGCTGGCGGCACAAGGACTTAAATTACTGTCCTTCAGGGCAGCACAGTGCTTAGCTGCTCTACAGCTGGTCGGGAGCAAGTGAAAGGTGAAACCAGATTGTGCCAGCAGTACAGTATTTTTGCCCATCAGTTGATGGAGTGAGAAAAACCAGTCTTTCAGATGTCTGGAAATCCCAGGGAAAGCTTGCAGGGCTCTGTCTGTGTGTGCTGGAAACTGCACTCGTAGGGGTCACCTCTAGTCCATCCAGGAACACTTTGGTGACTTCTATCATCTTCATGTGAAGAGGATTATGATTTCACTGTGACTGCAAATTTCTAGCATAAATAATGACCTAGTACTGGTCGCAGGAACTTGTCTCAGTGCTTGATGTATAAAATTTACTAGTTTACTCTTCCCAACATCTCTGAAGTTAACTACTACAATGATCTCATTTCCAAGATGAGGAAACTGCAGCACAGCGTGATTAACTTGTTTAGTCACTCAACTAAAAAAGAAAACTGATTTAAATCAATGTGGGCTGACTCCAGAGCCCACGTGCTATACCAAGGCTTAGCTTTTTCTGCAAGGAGCCAAATATTTTGGACCCTGAGGGCTCTCCAGTCTCTGTTGCAACTACTCATATCTCTGCTGGCAGTCATCAACAGTATGTAAATTAATGATTATGGCTACAGCCCACTAAGCCTCTATTTATAGACATGAAAATTCAAATTTCACATAGAGTAGTTTTCATGTAAAAAATATTATTTTTCCTTTTTAACAATTAAAAGCTACAGACACTATTCTTAGCTTGTGGCCCATAGGAAGTTGGCTGTGGTTGGCTGGTGGCCTGTAGTCTGCTGACCAGTCATGTCAGCTCTTC